GTGCATTATTAGTTTCTGAAATTAGTTATAACAAATTTGAAAAATGCACTTTTAAAAAAAAAATCGGGAATTGGAGCCCGTGTCCCCCCTTAAGGGGGGACATAAGCCTAAGTTCTAAAATTTTTTCGAAAAAATTCATTTTTCAATTTTGAAGTTTTCAGTTTTAGAAACTAATTATACACCCTTACACTAAATTTCACAACCCTGCGCCGAATAGTTGTGTTGATATCAAATATTTTCAACACATTTTGAGGCTGAAACAAAGTAAAGGAGTTCAATGTTTGGATGCATTTTTCTCAGTTCCGCTTTTTGCTACAAATTTCATGCGAAGGAATCTTTTTGAAGATAAAATTATTCTGACACCACAATCAAGATGTTTCTTAACTGAAATTTACTGGGGAATGGGGATATCTACTTTAATTTGTTTTAAGTTAAAGTCCTCATTGAGAAAAAACTATGTTTTAAAAAATTGACATAGGACAGATATGCACCTTATATTTTGAGGTAATCACTCTTCCTAAATATATTTACATTGGAGTTATAGAAACTAGATAGCCCAAAGTCCCACATCCCCCACTTTATATTCAAGCAGTTAAAATGATGCTTAATAGCTTCATTTGCATATCATAGATTTCTTAACGAAGAGTGACTTACCTTTTTATGCAGGTATGTAAAGTTGTCCTAGAGAGCTGAAAGTTTGCACAGTACACCTGCATCTGAGGTTAAATCTCCCTTGTAAATTTCATTTCGATCACTTGAGTAGTTAAAAAGTTCAACCTCTAGCCAGTCTCCCTCCTTAAGCAAATCAAAAGGCCCGGATGATGTCTGAATTTTTTCGAGCTTGGCTGCACCAGCTAGAGTGGCGCTTCTGTACCAAGAAGGGCAAGGTGTTGGTGTTTGTCGAGAATTGCAGCGCCCACTCCAACACTTCAGGACTGGAATGCATTCAGGTCATGTTTTCGGCTCAGAACACGGCCGCTGCCCTTCAACCCATAGATTAAGGGATGTGAAAAGGAGATACAGGAAGCACGTATTGGAGCGAATGTTTCTGTGCATCGAGGCAGCGAAGGAATACAAAGTTCTGCTCCTCAGCACGATCCACATTTTGTCGTACAAGTTAAACAACACACCGGCTGAAATTATTGCAACTTCTTTTAAGCACAGCAGTTTTGTCCGGTCCAAAGCTTGCCAGGCGGTGGAGACCCCAAACATTTCTGAAGACGACGACGGCCTTTTGACGGCGTCCTGTCTGCCCAAGTGCAACTTGTTGTCTACCTTGCGATTGATGACGGTGTTGCTGTGGCCGGTCAGCTGAGTGACAATGAGATCATTAGGGATGCCCTATGTGAAGACGGGCGTGCTTCGGATGAAGATAAAGACTGTCCGTGTGAGGAGCCGCCACCACGTCACACTGTGCGAGACGCCACGGAGGTTCTTGTCGTGCTCGAAGAATTTTGCTACAACACATCCGACAGTGTGAGTGCGATGGAGTACCTGACTGCTCAAGATAAGTGGTTGCCTCTATCCAAGTGTTGTTCAGAAAGCAGGCGGCAATAACAGGTTTCTTCGCAAAATAAAGGCACGTCGCAGGGAAATTTTTTCGTGCTGTTTTCTTTGTCCATCCAATATTTCGTCTTTTGGATAATTCGGACATCTTTGCCGGTCTCTTGAGCTCTAAATTAATGAGGTTTTTCTGTAGAAGGAAACAAAAATGGTTCAAATAATGTCTTCCACCCTCTGGCTTAGAAAGTCTCCTGGATTTGGTCTCTGAACTTGACAAGCATGCTTTAGTATCAAAAAGTAATTCTCAATTGTTATAAGATATGAGCTCATTTAGTGATGTGAAGAGATTTTCAATTCCAAGTGATCTGCTCCAGACATATTTCTGGCTGATCCAAACTAATGGTTTGTCTGCTATAAATTCTGCTGCAAAAGGTCAAATGTCACTTTCATCCCTGAGGTCTCGGACCTCTGTATCGCTTCACTGAAACAGTGTCAGTGGGGACAGAGGCTCCTCAACTGTCATTCAAGGCAGCTAGCCCTTTCCCAAGGTTAAGAGGCTTGAGAGAGCACTGGTGGTGGTCGTCAGTGGCATCCACTGTAATACGGTGCAACCCACTTTAACGATAATGAGAAAACGTGGAATTTCAATCATTACAGCTGATTATCGTATCTGGACTAGAAACTGATCATTTCCAGTCTAGAAACTCTAGAAACTGATAGTTATAAGCAGTACATCATTATATATAGTATCCTTGTAAGTGGGTTGCACTGAAATATTGTTTTGGAAGTTTCAATGAACAGCGCCAGGGGCCACTGGAGACCAAGATGGTGCTGAGGGGCCTTTAAAGGGTAACTGCAAAGAAAAAAAAGTTTTTTTTTTAAACAGCCTAATTGGGACAAGCATGTCACAAAACAAATGTTCCGCGAAAAAAAATTATTTTTTTTATCAATATTTACGCCACAGGATGTAATTTAGTAAAGTCAGAACCTCTCCACATTTGAAACTCCCGCTCTTTCGACCCCCGCTGAAGAGGAGTATGCCCCGCCCCTCACTCTCCTTGCGTTGCGGAGTTGAACGACGCAGCGTCTCGACTTCCGGCATGATCTGGCAACTACGCCAGGCCGCGGTATTATCAGTATTGTTTTGGTTTGACGCGGTTTGCGAGCACATGTAGCGAAGACGTGACCGTGAGAAGTGCCCCTGTGATGTTCCCGGAAGACGGGAACATCACAAGTATCGTTCGTAATCGTCGTGCGTGCTTTGAAAGCGAAGGGAGTCACAGAATCCACGAGTGCGCAACCACAAGTCAAGGTTCACGACAGCGCTGCGATGGTTTCGGCGATCTCGTTCTGTTTGGTGCAACACGGCGATGCGACAGCTGAAACGTTCATGGTGTGTGTAATGCGGTGCTATGTGTGTTGTGTGGGGTTGACGTGCAACGGGTGTAGCCCCGTCGTCGTCAGCTGATCCAGTAAAACTGGCCCGGGAGGACACAGCAAGCGTTTTTAAAAGTAAATCTTCCTTCGTTCTGTTTCAAAATGTGGAAGATTCCGGACGCATACCGTGAGTAAAAAGCTGCGGGCGTTTTCAAATAAATTACGTCGTTTTAATTGAACAATGGACTCCGAATTGTTCTCCTAAATCTGGCGTTTTTTATGCTTCGTGTTGTTGGACTGTGTTTGCACAGTGACGTGTTGCGCTCGTCGTGCGGTGTGAATAAATTTGGGCAAGATTTCGTACCTGTCTACAGATGCATGAACTGAGACCACTTTTTACGTAGTGAACATGGTGCTTTTTTTATTTTGTGATTCTAGTTGTGGACGTTAGGTGCGCCCGGTGCGAATCTCGATGGCCTCCGGAGCGATATGGCGAGAACGTAACTGGACACGTTTGTCGCTACGCGAACGCCCGATTGCCTCCAGCCAAATAGCATTCCTTTCGGGGCGACATGGCTGCTGGAAGGCTCACTGAGTCACTGTCGGGATCACGCATCTGACATCTCCGAAAAGTTAGCATTTGCACGCGCAAACAAGCAAAACAAACACAAAAAAAGCACGCTAAGCAAGCAAAGAGGAAAACGAAAGAACTGCGCTATGAAAGCCAAAACCCCGCGTCGCTTCCTATCACTAACACCTGCGACAGCTGCTAAACACACACTACTTCACTTCAAGAAGTCTCACTCAAGCACCTGGGTCAGCACGAAACACTGATCACTTCGCCGAAACGATTAGTCAAGGTAGGCGAGACAGGCGGGAGCAGAGATTTCGGCGGCCATGAAAGAATGGCGAAGCTTTTGTTTGTTATGGTATGAATCCAAACGGAAGTGCCCGTCTTGTAAACCTTTTGTAAAGAATAATAACTCTCATCACATGAGTTATTCTTTAAACGTAAAAATATGCCGCTCAAAAGGAAATTGCAACAAATAACAAAGGTTTAACAACCAAGATCTAAGCTGTCAATCAAACTCTTAGCCAATGAGAGCCGATTGGGATTAACGTCACGGAATCCCAACTTCGTGGGCGCTATTTAAAACGGGCGAAATAGCCGCAAACTAAAATCAGTCTCACGCAATAAATATTGCTGTAAAAATTTTTTTTTTCTCGCGGAAAAATTGTTTTTTGACATGCTTGTCCCAATTAGGCTGTTTAAAAAAAATCTTTTTTTTCTTTGCAGTTACCCTTTAAACGTCCTCCAGGTGGCGTTACTCTTTACTCGGTAGAACCGGTACAATCATGCAAGAACTACCAGATGGTATCAGAAGTGCTTCAGAAATGGAAACCCCACCAAGCGCAGAGAATGTAATGGCCCAAGCAACACTGCTAACCACGGATTTTACGGCACCACCAGCCTTCGATTTCAATCACAGCTGTCTACCAGAAACCGAACAGATCCTGAAGCAAGCACTTCAGAGTTGTGTCCCTCTAGGACAAAAAAGCATTCCAAAGACCGGGTCAGTACGGACCATAAGAAAACCAAAGAGATTCGGCGAATGACCTTGTGAGAAAAGAGAGATGTAATAATATTGCTGTGGAACTTTCAATAAATGTGGCCAAGGGTGCATGGAGACCGAGGGGGTCAAGACGGTGCCGAGGAATCTTGAAGCATTCTCCACATGGTGCGACTCATTACTCAGTGCAACCGGTACAATCTTGTAAGAGCTGCCATACCACGACGCCAACCTCGAGGGTTGTGAGAATTAACCACGTCGCACTTTTATAATCAGGTATGTTACAACACCATTCCACCCGCATTGCACGACCGTGCTACAGCTATCGCTTTTGTTTCATCGCACATTGTGGGCGAAAAATATTTTCCGGAACTTCAGTGCCAAACCGACAGGATCGTGACACGCGGCAGCACGACACTCTGGCTTTTGCGACGTCATCCATTTCCACTTCGGGACCACTTACGCGTGGGCAGAATGGGACGCTAGACACACCGGTCTGAGATGCGTTGCGGGGGCAGGAGCGAAACTGAGCGTACCAAACCATTGCAGGTGTGCGCAAGGTGATCCTCTCGACAAACCTGGCAGAGACCTCGCTGACGGTGGAGGACGTAGTGTACGTGGTCGACTCGGGCCTGCACCGGGACCAGCGCTACGACCCCCTCCTGGGGGTGCCGCTCCTGGGCACCTTTGCCACCTCGCGCTCCAGCGCCCGGCAGCGGCTGGGCAGAGCCGGCCGGGTGGGGCCTGGGGAGTGCTATCACCTGTTCACGCGGGAGGAGCTCGAGGCGAGAGAGGAGTTCCCGCGGCCGGAGATGCAGACGACGGCCCTCACCAAGGTCGTCATGGACTGCAAGGTTTGACGAGAATGCCCATTATGCGAGTAGGAACTGAGGGAGAGGAGAGTACAAGAGTGTGCTGGGCCGTCGGTATGCCGAGCTCCGGTTGAAACGACTAGTGGGCAGATACGAAGCTAGCTGCCATTGGTTTTTTTCTCTCTTTGAATGCATTTGAACGGCAAGTAGAGACGAAGACAGCTTACTTTGCTTGCGTCCACCCACTAATCGTTCCAACCAGAGCTAGGCACTCTGACAGCCCCACGTGCTCTTGTGTCCTCTTTCTCAATTTCTACCCGTGTAGCTTTTTGTAGGAACCCTGCATGGACTTTCCTCGCTTGTTCTGGAGGCATTTGAATGCTAAAGTCATGGGAAGGGTGTCAGCAACATTGCCATCTTTTAAAAGAAGTGTCGGAAAAACACTGTTTTTTGAGAGAGCGTCTGCAATCGAGAGTGCAGCCGCTGGATTGACATCGTAGCGCACGCAGTATGGGAACCCACGTATGAACCTTGTTTGCTCGTTTTGGTCGCACTCTAATGCCAAGGCCATAGATAGAGTATCAGCAACTGAAAGGCTCTTGGTGTGAGCATCAGCAGCTGAGATTGCAGCTGTGTATTTGACGTCGAAGCGTGAACGACATGGAAACCCCGCATGGACCTTGCTTGCCCGCACTAGTTCACCGTGATACCAAAGCCATCGGAGAGAGCATCGGCAACGGAGTGCTGCCGTCAGTTTGATGTTGTAACGAATGCGGACGATACTGTCGCACTGCACGAAGTGAAGGGGGCTGACACAATTAACTAGGGTGGAAAGTGCCGGAGTTTTCCAGACCAGTAAGTAGCTTATCCAAGGACCGCGGTACGACCGACTGGACGCTGCACCGCTTGCAGCTCTTTTGCCCGACGACCCCCGTGGGGGACCTGCTCTCTCTGGCGCCGGACCCGCCGGCTCCCGAGATGATCCGCAAGGCGATAGCGGACCTGCAGGCCATGGGTATCATGGACGCGGAGGAGGAGCTTACGGAGCTTGGCCACTGCCTCGTCCACTTTGGCATGGCTCCGCAGCTGGCCAAGGCTCTCGTGTATGCTGCCTTCTTTGGGTAAGGATCGAGTCTCATCACTCTTCCTTTGTGTCCCTTAAGACTAAGTTGAAACCACACTCCATTCACCCCCTAAACTGACAGTAAACCCAATTGACCGCCTCCCTTTCATCGCCTGTTCCCCTTCTGTGCACGTGGATAGGGTAGGGATGACTGCTTAGCGAAACATCGACATATGTCTAGTTCGACGAGCACATAACTTCTGCCGCACTTCACTGTCAGCTTAGGGATGTATGGAGTGACAGCATGGTGCCATATTGTAAGGCTTTGATTATCATTGTGGTTGGTGCTCTGCATTCATCCTTTTTAGGTCAGTAGAGTAACCTGCCGTCTGTAAGTCCAGTTTGTCAAAAGATTGTTTAATGCGACCAGCGACCAATGTCAGAATATGCCGATCATAAAAAGATATCCGTCGACACATTTTCAAATCTTTGAGACTAAACGGATTAAACAAAGCAGTAATGTGGAATTGACTTTAAATGTTTTATGAGGGGTGACATGTTTTATAAGAGGGGATAAAAATTATTTTTGGAAAAAAATGTTTTTGGGTTGTTTAGACTTTCAAGCACCTCTTCAGAACTTGTGAGCATGAAATTCGGTCGGCAAATATCTAAAAATTGATTTTATAACGTCACAATAGACTCGAAATACCCGCGAATCAGCAAAAAACATCTTCCAACTTTGGGTGCTCGCCATTTGCAAATCAGACGCCCGGCGGCCGCCATCTTGGTTTTGTTTCCAAGCTGGTTTCTTTTTCCACGTTTTGTGACATTTCAAAGTGGTGTCGTTGCAGAAGAACTTACTTTTTCCTGGGTATTTTCAGAAGACGTTTGCGAGCCGCTAATAGGCCGAAGCGCGCGGTCAGAGGAGTGCACATCTTTCGTTAGCCTTTCCTCCCCCAGGTGCGCCTTTCTCCCCTCCAAATTCCTCGCCTTTCAGTGGGCTGACGCCGATTTGCATTCGCTCTGTCATGATTCTGCTGTTCAGCTCAATCTCTTTCGCCTCATTTTACATTGCTTTTTTTAATCTTTAATACTTGCCTTTTTAATAGAGTGTGTTGGTGCGCTCTTATTAGTTAACCTGTGTTACATTTGTCGCTTCGTGTTGTAAGCGCTCGTGTGTACAGTGCGTTCCAAAACAAGCTGGACTCGTCGACTTTGTTTGTTGTCGGAACACCTGGGGACCTTCAACTAAAGAAAACTATGCATGAGGCGTATGGCTAAAGACGAAAGCGTCCATGGAACGTATGGCAGAAGGCCGTAAAGAAGGTTGCTCTGCCAGGATCACCTTTTGCATCAGATCCAGAGGATTCTTCTGTAACCACGCTGGAGACGGGCAGTAGTGCATCTGGCGTCAAGGCATCATTGGCCCACGTCCCAAGGGCCAGCAAAGACTGCATCGACACCGTCTTATTCAGCGGAGGAGGCTGCTGCAGCAAATGGGAGTAGTGTGAAGGAGTGCTTGTCATCACAGTCGGCAGCGTAACGCTGGTTCAAGCTACTGAATGTCGACAAGGTGAGCGACAGCAACGACAGCGGCACAAATTTTACGATCATGGACTTCAGCATTATCAACTCTTTCTTCGCACTCATGCCCTGCCCCCCAGTGCAGTGCGAAAACCGCAACTGTGTCCAAGGTCCAAGAGAAAAAGTATGGGCTTTGTGCTAAGCTTGTGCTCGACATTTGACTTGTGCGAAGTATGATTTTATTTGCTAAGGGTGGCTGGTGATGCCAAGATAACAGCCTTCGAAGTTAATGCTCATGCAATTAAGGCCATTCAGAGCAATGGCAAAGGAGCAAAGTCCTGTCCGAGTTTTTTTTGCTGCAATGAACATTTCCTGCCACAACCTACAGCACGAAACCTACCAGGGCCACATGAACAAGATGGTTCAAGCCTGCTACGCGACTGTTACAGAATGCGAGGCTGCAAGTGTGGCCCAAATCAAAGACCTGTACAAGGACTTCGACATCCCACCAGGGAACATCGACGTTACTTTTGATGGTAGCTGATTGACTCGGGGACACAGCTCGCACGTCTGCTGGGAGCATCATTGATATAGGCACAGGGCTGGTCATCGACTACATGGTGCTCTCTAACATTTGTTTGCGCTGCTTAACTGGACCTAAACCCAACAAGGAAGGGTTTGCAGCTTGGCTTTCCAAACATGCTTCAAAGCGTCAAAAAAACATTGACTGCAGGGCTGGCAGATTGGAGGTGAAGGCTGCCCTGTGCATGTTCCGGAGGTCCCTGGACAAGTGCAAGTTGCGGTACAGTCGCCGACCGATTTTTTGGGCTCGGAGGGGACCCCAAAATCGTCGAAATAATCAAGCGCTTGAAAAAATTGATTTCAACCAAAATACCAAATTTCCGCGCACATTCCGCTGCGTATCGTGCACTTTCTACTTGATTGATGTCAATTTTAAGTTCTCGTACAACTTCCGCTTTATAGTGCTCACTTTTCACTTGTTTGTTGATCTGTTTCATCACGGTGCTGCGCTTTGTCGGAGCCTTCGTTGGCACAGACAGTGAAGTTAAAGTTAGCGTCATTTCGCACTATTTGGAGACAATGTTTAGTCCACCAAGCTCGCTTCAATACTAAGCCTATTGGTAAAAAGCTTCGTGCTCAAAGACAACAAGAACGGCAGACGGTCGCTCTTGTCGCGGTCGCACTAGAAAAACACGGACCACGAGAAGAACTGGAAGAACTATAAGAATCTGCAGACGGCGGCCATGTTGGCTATAGCAAAACCAGAAAACCCGACTATAGCCTCAACCCAGCTTGTTTTTTGCGTAGGACGTGGTATTGAGGCCACAGGGCAAAATCAAAACAACCAAGGTGGCAACGACTAAGCTCGCAGCGATATTGCCGCGTGCGTAGCTGGCCAAGTAGGCAGCGCGCGCGTGGCTTAACGGTTATTGTACCTGGCTCCCTCGTGAAAAGGCAGGGTTTGATTCCTTGTAGCGGCACATCTTTTTGTTTATTCCTGCAGACTAGTATTCTGTTAAATTCGAGAATCCTGTTGCTTGTTTGAGGTCCGAATGTTCTACGCGTTGAACTTTCTACGCCGATTATTCCAGAAGCCCACGCATGTATAGGGTGGTCCAAGTCACCAGGCTCGATCTAAAATGGGCCGTAAAAATCAACGCCTGCACGTAGGCATCTAAACTTTTCATCAAAGGTGTATTTCACAGGTCGGTTTTTTCTTGTAAAATTACAAAGCATAGCTCTGTCTCTGTTTAAAATGGGGCCAAGAAACTTGCCAGGGTCTACGGTGGGCGGCGACCCAGACGACAGGGGTTTAGTAGCGTGGTGTGACAGGGGTTCGATTCCTGGGAGCGGCGCATCTTTTTGTGTATTCCTGCAGATTAGTATTTTGGTAAATTTGAGAATCCTGTTGCTTGGTTGAGGTCCGAATGTTCTATGCGTTGAACTTTCTACGCCGATTATTCCAGAAGCCCACTCTGTGGCAAAACTTACTGTGGCGAGCCACAGTAAGTTTTGCCCCAGCATTCGACTCTGCTGTCACGCCGACTTCGACGCCCGCGACGCTCTACTTTCTTCTGTTCCCTTTTTCATTTTTGGGCACAAGTTTGCCCCATTAAACATTTAGTTTCTTCAGTTATTATCGCCTTATCACTTGTCATTCGTGACAATATCGCAGCGGCTGTTTTGTGGCCGTAAACTAAGGAAATCGCGCAAATTTTGTCTGAAATATCGTGCATAAGCTTCATGGCGTCCGAAATTTCAGTCAATGTTAGTATACATTAACTCTTTGGGGTGAGTGACAATTTGGCAAATATGTCTGAATAATCGGACATGTCCGAATAATCGGCGTCCGAAAAATCAGTCGGTGACTACACGACGATGCTCTCGGATGGAGATAGCCGGACCTTCCACACCTTGACAAGGGTTGCGGCCCAAGGTGAGCAACTTGGAGGGAAGGGATGACTAACTCGGGGCGAAATCAAGAAGCTCACAAACCTTTACGACAGCGCCCTGAGGAGCCACAGGGACGACGTGCCAGCCATGAAGAAAGCTGTTCAGGCCATGCTGTGGCACATGTCGTCAACTGATGAGGTCCCCAAGCATGGCCTCTGCCGCGAAGGTTCAGAGTTATGGTGCAACTGCACGAAACTTGGGAATTCAGTTTTTGTGAAGTAAAAAAACAATTTCCAAATGCCGAATTTGAAGTTCCCGCGCGTTCGGCGCCAGTGCAGTGACGTCAAATATTGAGCCGTCCTGCGAGTCAAGTTTCTCTGACGCCTCCGAATCGCCACCACCCGAAGTGTCGTTTTCGCCGGCGTTCCGCAAACAATTGGTTTCCTTCGTGTGTGGCTGCCTATCACTGCGAGCAGACAACGCTTGACTACAGAGTTTGAAGTTCTTTTAGGGCCCTTTCAGCGATCTCAAATTCCTGAAACGGTGCAAGGTTAAAGAGACCGCGCAGCAAACTTTTATGAGCGATGTGAGGGGCCACATTGCGCCGATTCTGCGTGAAAGGCCGCACCAGTGGAGTCATAACCGAAACTATGTTTCACAGACACCAAACCCAGTTGTTTTGATTGTTTGACGATTTTTTTTTTTCAAAGTCTGAGAGGTCGTTGGGCACCTAAAAATGACCACTTCGTGCGATTCCCCGACTCACCGATCATCCTCTGCTACATGAGTAGAGCGGCGCCACATTTTCCGAGGGAGTATAAAAAGCCAGGAGGCGACATCACACCAGACTTCGATTTTCGGATTTCCAAAAAGAAGGGCTGTAGTGCATTTGCCATTGCATTAAAAAACATGTTTTACACATGCCGTTATTAAATGTTAAAGAAATGTCGCTTATAAAGCTTGTAAATTTCATATTTGAGGTCGCAAATCAAAAGAAGCGAGGAGGTGAGGAGTGGTAGAGAAGGGCACAAAAAAAATTAAAACGAGTGCGCACTCATTTGGAAATTTTTTTCTGCATGTGTATGACTACAACTTTGTCGTTTCACACAACAAAACAAATGCAACAGTGCCGCTCTAAGTCCAGTTTATGCACTTGTGTTTGGTCGACTACGTTGCAGCTGCTTGTAACTGCCGACAACAAGAGCACATGCTGGCCCCATCTACTGGCATCCTGGAACACCTCCGATCTATGTATAACTAGACTGAAGGATTTGCTGGATTTGCTCGATCACATCTTTGCACTGTCTAGGAAAAATTGTCTCTCCTAATAATTTCAGAATTGTTTCAAGCACATGGCCAAATGATGATGCGTGATATATCTAATTATTCATAGATCGGAGGTGTTCCCGCTCAATTTCAAATGTGCAAACCAGCCTTTATACTTCTCTGCTTGTGCCAAGTAAAGTGTTTTTTTGTCGTTCATTGTCTCTTGCCTTTTTAAACAAAATGCAGATGCCTGGGCCCGGTGCTGTCTCTTGCTGCCCTGCTGTCTGAAACCTCAAACTTGTTTACGGACCGGGAATCCAGCAGCAAGAGCATCAGATGGGTACGACTCCAACACTTTCTTGCTTTCGTCGCTGCAACCCCCATTGTGAAACTACACTACTGCCTCCATAATCTGCGGTATTGTTTCCCGGGACTCCAGAGTTGATAGGGAATTCTCGTATTTTTATTGCAATGTGAAGCGTGAATTTGCTGTGCTTGCGATCTGCGATGTCTATTCCGCGTCTTGCGGTTTGTAGCAGGTGCCCCAGTGTTTGTCGCTAATTTTTAAAAAAGGTTTTTTTTTGTCGCATCTTAGAAATTGCTTGCCCCATACTTTTCACCATTTATCTTTCTTTGTTTCGTTTGACTGGGCGTTCTTATTGGATTTTATGGCAGTTATGCATTAGTGAGTGGCTCGGGTCTGCTTAAGTAATACTCAAAATAGAAAATCGCTCTATCTAGGGGCCGAGGAAGTTTAGGAGGTCCCAGAGCTCCCGAGGGTACTCTGGGGGACCCCCAGTTTCCTAGGAATCTAGTTCAGGGAACTCATGTGTTAGAGATTTGTCAAATGTCCGAATCTGTCTTGGACGCTTCAGATGCGATGTGACCAACCAGAGAATCTTGCCTTTTGTCACCATCTTGTTTAGAGCTGCATCTCGGATTGGCATTGCCATCAAGAAGTCCCACACACTCGTGGTTCTTCTCAGTACACGAACGAAGGAAGTCCAAAGTTGAGAGTTATCTGGAGACAAGACGGTTTCTTGGTACCAGCCATTTTGACTGTGCCGCCCCACACGCGTGCAGGTGAAGGCCTGCCACGACCCGAGCATGAGGAGCGATCACCTGGCCCTTGCCGAGATCTTCTCAAGGTGGAGCCAGCTCGACTCTCCGCTGGAGCAGCATCGTTTCTGTCAGCAGCACTCTCTCAACATGTTCTGCCTGAAGACAGCGCAAGGCGAGCTCTCCCTTCCTTGGAGTCTCGTCCACGGAATTCTCAAAACGCTTCGAGGGCCGGTTCACAGAATTCCATCTGCGTGGGACCGGGTCTATTGCAATCGTTTACGACCGCTTGTGACGGGAGAAAACGCTGGTGCCACCTGTCGGGTAGCCCCAGAACGCTTCCGACGTGCATACATATCTTCTAATTTTAACGCGAAAGCATTAACTGGTCCCATGGAGCAAGCCGACGTCATCAGCTTTGAAACCGTGCCGAATGGCACCTTAAATCCTTTCTCCAAGTGAAGCCAGCCCCCAGCTATGAAACCACGCAAAAAGCCTAGCCAAACAGCACCTAGTTTCCCCGATCCCAAAGGAGCGGAGTAAAGCTGATGGATTTCGGCTCCAGTCTCATTGGCTGGCACGTGTCGACGAGGCTCCCATTGGCCGCTGCGCGTCAGTTTCAACGCCCGCCACCCACGGCACTGCGTGTCCTTGAGGCGGCGGCTCCTCCGCTCCACGCCCAGGGTTAGCGCGCCGAGGACTTTGTCTCCAACCGTCACCGCAAGTGAAAAAAACAACAAAAAAAAAAAACAAAACAAGGGAGCAGAAGGGCGGCGTGCACGCTTTCGCATTCACAACTCATAAGAAGTGCTTAGGTGTACCTCAAGCCTTTTTTCGTGCACAGTTCTTTCGTCGTAGGCTTGAAAGAATAACGAGAGCATTGGAAGCAACCGTTTTCTCGTGACGCGTTTATTTTTCCGATGACATTCGTTTCAAATAAATGCCTTTGGGGAGCGTTTGGCAGCCTTAAATAGGATCCTGTAAACTCTGGTAATCACGTGCCAATGGTGCATTTTTAGTTTGAAGTGAATGGTGATTTGGGCCAAATATTTTGTAATCAAATATTAAATAGTTTCTCAAAGCTTTTCTTTTTTTTTTTTTTACCAGCGTGCACTCTGTTTGAACAAAAATCGAGCTTAACTGTAGAGGTTGCTCCGAACCTGTCACTTGTCCACTTCTAAGCTCGGTCAATTTTAATGTAATTATATATATGAACTGTCACATGAAAGCGAGTGATTTGTCGAAGCTATCCTGATCAAGGGGATTTATAAATCTACTTGTTATATGCAAATATTTTCATCTATTTTAAATTTGACAATAATAAAACAAGCACTAATATTAAATCATGGTAATAAAACGTGTGACTCAGGAACACAGAAGGGGACAAACACAACACGTCCCGAACACAGCTGTGTTTGATACGTTTTGTTGTGTTTATCCCCTTCTGTGTTACTGAGTCTCGGGTTTTATTACCATGAATCACTACCAGCTAGCTTGTTTTGCAAGTACTGTTACAAGTAATGAACATGGGCTTTCAAGACATCACTGCCTCACATATAATCTCACATACCGTATTTACCCGAAAATAGGTCGACCACGAAAATAGGTCGACCCCTATTTATTGAGCCCACCGAGAATAAAAAAAAAAAAATAATTCAAATATAGGTCGACCTTTCTTTTTTTTTTTTTTAAGGAACAGGGGAAAGTTAGGGCAAAAGAAACAAACCTTTATTTACAGCACTCTCAGCTAAATCACAGGGCGATGTCAGAAACTTAATCATCGTCAGAACTTCCGGATATATCGTCGTCCGAAGCTTCGTCAGCTTGGTAGACATCCTCGCAAATTGGCAACAATACCTCACTGACACCGTTGTAAAATGACGACGAGAAGAAACGAAAGAAGGTGGAGACGGGCGAGCGACGAAAGACCAAATATAAAGACACGAGCAACGCTGCGAGCCCCGTGAGCAACACGCGACCCGCCGAAAAAAACAAACGAAAGTACCTCCGTTTTTTTTTTTTTTTTTTTTTTTGGCGCGTTTGCGAAAGAGGAATGGAGCGCATAGGAGGGCAAAGTGCATGGTGCATCGCGTTCCTCTCCCTCCCCTTCCCCCTTGCCCAGCGAGGGGAACGCTACAGGCGTGATGCGTGATGGCGAAACCCGACGCCGAGGGAATGCGCGCGAGAGCCGTTGCCGGCGGCCACGGGCTGTCGGCTGCTGCTGTTCGGTTGTTTTTGTGCATCAAAAGCTTTTTGAAACAAGAAGCCGCGCGGCTCTACCGCGACGCCGGCTAGGTGATTGATAGCTCCATACCCTCGGTAGGGTTTCAAATTTTGGTCGCGAATTGGGTCGAAACTCTTTGGTCACGATTGTAGGTCGACCCTTAATTTTTGACAACATTTCCGAAAAAAAAAGGTCGACCTATATTCGAATAAATACGGTAATTAATCGCGGCAGGTTAGCCCCATTGAGTGTGCTTCTCAGCGAACATCCGAGCACCGTAAAGAAGTGATACCCGCAGTGTTCGCGGGTATTGCTTCCCCGCAGTGCAAGGCTAACCTGCCTTGCACTGCGCACTCAACAAGGCTAACCTGCCACGATTGACACCTCGAAAAGTATAAACATCTGAGGTCATTTCGAAGCAAAAATCGATAGCATGTTATTTGAAACAATGATTTGAAAATTTTAATATTTGCACTACATTAAATAACGGTTCAGTCGCCGACTATATAAGAACGGCAGGGCATCTCTTTCCGACACCCAGCCTCTGGCACGCGCTCGTTGCCTTTTGCCATGCTCTGGCTGCGTGTATCCATTTGAGGCTCGCAAGGCACCGAAGCGTAGTCAGAGGTAAAAAGCTCATACTGGAGGTGGCACAACTGAAGAACCTCCCCGCCGTTCTTGACAGCGACCGTAGTAAGGAAAGTCTTTGCAATCTGTTATGGTAAGCGAGGCCGTTGTAACAGGGTTAGCTTGTACGTTCCTGCTGTCCGTTTGCAGGTCTGAAGCAGGAGTTTGAAAAAAGCCTGACCCGCAGCCTTATGCTGACAGAGACACTGAAGGGCAGCGGCGTGGAGCTGTTTGACGGCAAGTCGTGGTGCATGGCCCCCCTCATGTCGGGAGTCCTGACGGCAGCGCTGTACCCGCAAGTGCTGCGCGTCTGCAAGGGTCGCTTCAAGGGCAGGAACCAGCTAATGCGCAACGCCGTCGACTTCGTCTGCCTGTGCGTCCTCCGGGCGATTTGAATTCTTAGATTGGCCGGTTGCAACTGCCCACGATGCGTCCGTGGGACGGTAGCTATCCGAGCGTGCCAGGAAAACTTGGGGGAACCCGGAGTGTCGGTACGGTGCCGGTACGCGTTTAACGCTTTTAATGGAGTTGTCCCTTGATTACCACCTCCTCACATTGTAGGGGTGTTGTGCTGTTGCCGACCGCTTTCCTGTTGCTGTCGCATAGCAATGGTGGATGTGTCACAGGCTTGTTCTGCTGCAGGCTGCTTTCCAGTCTGACAGTCTGTGGAAGCTTCGGCAGCCGGGAATTAAGATGCCGTAACGACAACGAAACTCCTCTTCTCAATCACTTTTTTTCATAACCTCTACGCCCAACCGCCAGGATTGCGACGTCCAACAGCATGATACTCCATCTTCTTTGACATCATTCAAGTGAAGGGGACCCTGGAGATTCAGCACAATCACCTTGTCTCGAAATGCGTGCACAAAGATGAACTTCCCTCTTTATCATCACTGCATCCTTGAATGGACTTCCTGTGTGTGGCACCTTCGCCAGATGTTTTCACGATACAATTGGTTGTCTTTTCAGCTTCTCCACAAATTGTCTGTTTCTACGGACTGTCCATAGCATGGTGGTTGATGTCATTTCTACTGCCCGTGTGGAGGGAGGCGTCTCGAAGTTCGAACTGGCAAAGCCCTCCGATATACTGTCGAGACCAGTTATAACTAAGTCAGCGGGAATCTGAAATCGCTTCGCTATATCCGTCCCTTCGTTATATATAAGCTCTTACAAATAACCTGAAAAAAAGAATATATATATATATATACCGTGCATCCGCCCATTCCACATTAAGTGCCCATTACCAAATTTGTGAGATCTGAGAAAATATGCACAGTACATTTATATGTAAAATTGATGACCAGACAAGCGCCCATCCCCTATCTTTTTGCGATTATCTCCAATGTGACTGGGCGCTTGCCCGGTATTTTACGGTATATATATAATACTGGTTGTCACGGGCACATGTTTATCGAACCTTCAGAAAACTGTCGAGACTTCCCTGCACGCGTCCTTTGCTAGATGGAAGCTACTTCTCATCAACTGCGAGAAGCTCCAATCGAAAAAAGATCCTGCTACAGTCGAATCTCGTTAATTCAAACTCGAGGGGGACCGAAAATTTTTTCGATTCAACGAAGTTCGAATTAACGAAGGCTCCTTAAATAGAGTACTTACGTGCAGCGCTGCGTTGGGCGGCGCATGTGCACTGAGCTAACACATGAGTGACGAGTTCCAGGACATTTCGTAAGCCTTTCTTTGCTCCTTTTCCTTTTCCCGCCTGCGCAGTCGTCGCCGTGAAAAGCGATTGTTTTTTTTCGGGAGCAATTTGTAATATACCACCGTCTCGTCCGCATTAAACACGTCGTCGAGCGAGTAGCAAGGCAATCCTTCAGCTCCCCGGATAGCACTCTTCGCATGCGGCTCTGTCCACATCCACCTTCTCGCCACATACAGTCTTAAAAGTAAGGCCGTGACGTTCCTTAAACCGCGACAGCCACCTGTTCGATGCCGAAAATCCTTCAATAGCCATCTGGCTTGCGAACTCCATCGCCTTGAGTGCAATTATTGACTCAATCAGTGGAAGGTTTCTGCTACGAACCTGTTCTATCCACATGACGAGAGCGTCTTCAAGCTGGGGATGTGCCGACGTCCGCAGCCTCTTCCTGGAAGGTTTATGCTCCTTCTCATATCCAGTGAAGATAGCCTCCCCATTCTTTTTGTATGTTGATAGAGTGCTCTTCGTGATGCTGTGTTTCTTCGCCATTTTTGTCTTGGAAAGGGTGCCTTGGTAAACTTTTTGCAGTATCTTTACCTTAGTCTTGAGGTCCTTTAGTGGGCGATTCGTGCCCTGGCTCGCCATGACGCTTGGAATCGATTTAACGTCGGTCGCGCGCCCACCGAAGACACGCCAAACTGCAGTAACGTGCAAGTGCAAGGCAAGAAACGAAACTGTTGCACTCCCGCCGAAAACGCGCCGAAGAGCAGCTGTGCAGCAAACGTCAGTCGCACGCCACCGGAAATACGTTGAACTGCAGCAACGTGCAAGTGCAAGGCAAGAAACGAAACTGTTGCACTCCCGCCGAAAACGCACCGAACCGCAGCAGTGCGCGAGTGCAAGGCAAAAAACAGTACTGTCGCACTCCTGCTGAAAACGCGCTGAACAGCAGCGGCGCAGCACCGTCACCATGCAAGAGTGTACCGCACCGCTCATCGCAGCATTCAAGGTCACCATGTTATTGGTTGTCATGGCTATTAGGAACTGGAGACGTGGAGGCTCTGTCGCGTGAGTTAGCCCGCTCCTGAAGGCATGCTTTGCAGCGCAGGATGTTCGAATTAACCGGCGCGGACGTTTAAGCGTTCGAATTACCGGGCGTTTTTGCACATTGAATTACATGTAGTGTAGTCCGGACCACAGCGTCAGTTTGAATAAACCGAAAGTTTGAATTAAGCGTGTTCGAATTAACGAGATTCGACTGTACGTATGGACAGCTGTGACAGCCCCGCAGAGGATGCCGGCAGTGGACGTCATTCTTTACATTTATGCGCACTCCGTCGAGGATGGCACGCTTTTGATTCAAGGAGATTGCCTTTGTTTTCTCCATAGAGGTGCCGGCAGTGCCAGGACTCTCCATCGTTGAGTGGCGATAATTTGCCGAATCAGTGCTTGAGTGAAGTAGACTTTCCCGCAAGAGCAACCTCACTAGACGCCGCCACGGATCACGAAGCAAACAAAGACGCGCACACGGCACCGAGTTCGCACTCAAGCTTGTTTGTTGTCAGTATAAAGAGCCTAGATTTAAGAGATGGGGCAACTGCTCGATCAGGGTTACGTGGTTTCTGGGCCGCGTTTGCAATATGAGCTGCAGCATGCAAAGAGTCAGAACTGAAAAGCATTCACCTTTTGCAAAGTGTCGGCCTCTCTGCCCAGTTTCCTCGCCACACTGACCACACGAAAATCGAATGCAGGCATACTTACTGCTCCCCCTCTTAAATCTAGGCTCTTTTTGCACTCTCCGCCGGTACGTTGTTGCTAGCGCTCCGAACGCCCCTATTGGCATGCCACGACGGCGTGCAATGTGATAAAGCCGCTTCCCAGAGGAGCAGGGAGCAGGCGACGCAGAGAGTGTTGCCGGCAGCCTTTCCAGCATCTTCTGCAGCCTGTTCTGGATGGCTTCTTGGCCACAGCAGCAAAGTGCAGCGTTCAGAGACTTAATGATCTTTCTGAATTTTATTCTTTATTTAAATTATCACAAAATTTTTCTTCGCTATTTCTGCAAAAGCTGCTCAATTTCCTTCTCTAAAAATGGACACGAATGCATTGAAGAAGTGCCAACGGGAATGGGAAATTGTGATCGCTTCATTGTAGCCAGATAGTAACTGGATTTCAGACACATTGTGCCCCTTAGGAGTCCAACAGAGTGGTCAAAGAAAAACTTGGAAAAGTCGGGAAATTTTAGAACATTGCTTTGGCAGACAGCTCGACAGTGCGCTGAATATGTAGGTCAGGGGTTTTCAATTTTGAGAAACCAACACCTGCCTTGAATCCTTAAATCGCAGCCAAAACCCTCCTCCCCCCCCCCCCCCCCCCCCATGCCAGTTCCAGCATTAATGCAGTAAGGCTACGTAGAGGCCTACAGACCTTGTAAACAATAATGAAAATACTAGGGAGTGTCTGGCACCTCGTGCAGTAATGGATGGCTCAGATCTACTAAAACAGTGCTTGAATTAGAAATATGGTTTATATTGCCGTGTGCATGACCGTCAAGTGTTCCTTCTCGGTCATGAGTGCGGCAAACTTTTGCCAGAAACGAAACAGATAATCGGGCGTCGAAAAGGCAGAAGCAAACATAGCAGCGTCGGCTAAAATGAGATTGCGACAGAGAGCGAGTTGGCAAGGCCACGCTCGGCTTTTATCTAATACACTCGGCTCCTTGTCTGCCACACTCGGTATCTCGAATATTCGATCTAGAACATTCGACAGTGAACTCTGGCAAGACTTACTCAGCAAGGTCGTGTCAGCCTCCTTAACTTTTACACTCTGGGAAAAAGAAAACTGTAATCTTCTAGAAGTTTGGAAAAGCGTTCCTTCTCGGTCATGCGCGCGGCAGTATTTAGGAGTATGGACGGTCTATGGTATTGGAAAGATCAGGGAACCTACGAAGGTAGTCTAGGGAACCGCCGCGTTCCTAGGAATCTAGCTTGATAACCCATGGTGTCGATTAATAGCTAATTGCCGAAATTTGTTTCTTCCTCGTGTTAGCAAGAAAGTCGCCCCCCCCCCCCTCCCCCATAAAAAAAATCAATATTGGTGGCACTTGCTTTTTTTAACAAACGGACATGTTTCTATACCAGGAACTCGAAGCGGTCGTTGGTGTCTGAAGAGTCCCTGCTCCACCGCAAGCCTCCTGAATACGAGCACCCTTGGCTGGTTTACCTGAGCGCCATGAAGCCCTCCGAGCACCAGCCGACCACCGTGTACGACTGCACCCTCGTCACCTCCCTCCACCTCATCCTCTTTGCAGGACTCACCCTGGATCTCGCAGAGGTGAGCCAAACACTTCCCTCTCAGGCCCTGGAATGATCCACTTGCCCACTCGGCAGACAGTTCTCGTAAATCGGTGTGAAGTTTGTCATTCCCAACTGAACTCGCTTGGCGCAGCCGTCGTCGGAGTCTCGACGTTACAAGGGCTGCAAGTCCTGTGTCCTCTATCATCATTAGAAATCGAATTTTCCTGTTTAGTTTAGGTATGAACCTCAGCGATAAGAACATGTTCTCATACTGAATAAAAGGTTAAAAAGCGCGAACAAACGAGGACAATTAAGAAACACGGACGACAGGACAGGCGCTTCAAACAGAAGCGCCTGTTCTGTCGTCCGTGTTTCTTTATTGTCCTCGTTTGTTCGCGCTTTTTAACCTTTTATTCAGTAATGCACCAACTAGCCCAAACCCAAGTTTTAATGTTCTCATATTTTTTAATAGCATTGGGAATGCTAGCTGATGAAGCCTAAACTCCACAAGAACTGATGTACAATCCATAACAAACTCAAAACCTCTCTTTTGTCAAACAGCATTATCGCCGCTGCATGGGGTGAGTGTGGTGTCGTAACTTTCACCGCTATATACATTGTGAAGATCAAGATTACTTTGCAGAGTGCCGAACACCTGCTCCATGTCGTTTTTTATACTGTTTCACCTTGCAGTGGGCTGCATCAGACACTACGAGCCGTAGGACCCAGTGCGTTGCCGTACGGGTGTCGCGTGATCGTCGGAGGGTCATAGTGACGCGCAGGGCACATAGTCACGTGATACAATCGCAGTGCTGGATTGGCTGGTATGGCTCATAGTGTCTGCGGCATTCATCGTAAGGTGAAACGGAGTAGAATCTTTTCCGACGAGCTGCTGAGCTGAAGTGCATTCTCTGTTTTTAAAATAGGTTGGGCTTGACTCCAACAAATATGGTTAGCAAATAATTGCTTGTATGGGCCGCACTCGTCATGTACAAGCCGTACCTTCCATGTTTAGAACAAAATATTTAAAAAAATCTATGTATTAACCCCCTTCCCCCTTTTCGAGGCGCACCGACCGTTTTCGCAGTGTGGCACATGCTCTGCGTCTCCACTTTGCCATTTTTACCCCACCATGTATGCGCCTCTGCTTGCGTTTCTTGCCGCGTTTTGAAGGGCAGATACGAAATATTGCGGGATAAAAGCTTTGGAAATCTATCCTATGTTTTCGTATCATCCGCGGTCGCCTTTCGCCCGTGTGATAGTGGCTGCTAGGAAATTGATCGCTCGGGTTTCCGAACATTGCCGTTAGGCTTCGTGAATGTTTCGTTCTGATAAGTTGGTTTATGCTGGCCCCACAAACTAGGGGCAGTGGGCAAGTACTTTGGAACTGTCACTTATGCCTTGAAGTGCGGCAGACGTGCAACAGGTTGCGAATACGGTGTCGACAAGATCTGCGTACGGTGCTGGTCAAAGTGCGCAGTCCAAGGCAGGCTGACTGGTACGCTGCAGCCGCTCGACGTTAACATCAAAATGGACGTCAAAGTGAAATTTTACGAAATAAATGGCTAGCATGAACTCTGAAAAGCCGCTTACTGGACGACTGAAGAAGGGTAACTCTGGCCACTGTTAGTGCTGGCCAGACTCAAGCACCGAAAATACCGCGTGGTAAGACGATCGAGACCGAATTAAACGCACTCGAGACCACTGCTTGCGATAGCAAGTACATACATTTTTTGATGCACACAGGGATGGAACTGCTGCGCCAATTGCGCCACTGTGCGCCTAACGACTTTTCATGCGCCACACTGATACAAAAGTATGAATAAGAAGAAAATTGCTGCAAGGTGCGCCCAAGCTGAAATTATAAACCAGCCTCGTTGAAATTAGCCGTCGCAGTTTCTGTTGGCAGCATTGACACCGGAACTTCCGACCCAAATGGGATGCCAGTGGATCCGAATCCAAAAATCTGTATCTGAATGTTGCTGCCACCAACGTTAGCTGCCGTTGCTGCATGCTCAACGCGCTTTTCTGAAGTCCTGGAGTCGTCTTATCCAGAGATCTGATTGGTGGAGCAAACGTGTGGGGGGGGGGGGGGGGGGGGCGCATCCCCACGCAGAAAACTTGGGAACAAAGGCGAGCAAGCAATGAGGCGTATTGCGGAGCAAGATACGAGCTGCCAGATTGTGATTGCGCTTTTCAGTGATTTGACAGTGATGTCACGAAAGTATCTTGACAGCAGACTTGCTGCAAACTGTGAAGAAGTCTCATAAGTTTTGCACAGAAAGGCTAGAGGTCGAAAAGCAAGACGACGAGAGGCATAAGAGGAAGAACAGTGATGCGACGTAAGTGAGTAGGAAGAGAGCTCGCCTTCAGGAAGAAGAGCGACAACTTGAACAGCGCATCATCTGTTCGTGAACTATGCTTGAGCATGCGCAGACATCGAATAAGACCGGTTTGAAAAAAAAAGAAAAAAAAAGAAGGAGACGGAGGGGAGTGCTGTTAGCAGAGACTAATGCGAAATTGGCTCAGAATCTCGAAAAAGTACAGTGTATCTATCCGTGAGAAATTGACGAAGGCCCAAGAGAGTTGTATGTACTAGGCATTTATTATCTTATTGTAGTACTGAAAAATTTAAGACCATTTTTGTACTTGCATTTTTATTTTTCGGTACACCTTAGTAGTCAATGCTGAACAATAAAAGCTATTTGTAACTGTTTAGTTTTACCTCTTTGCAAGTTGGTTTTATCATGTGTCACACTGTTAAGTGCAGTTTTGCTCATATATCTCTTGTGTAATTTGCACCATAATTTTCTGAAAAATATTTGCAACCAAAAATTTGATTCAATCTACCGTGAAGTTTACGTGGAGTTACCTGAATGCCAGATTTTCTTTAGTTTTGAAAACCAGGTGACATTTAGCCTCTATTTTAACATTCTTAGAACTCGTACGCTGCTCCCAATTTGCTCCAAGACATTGTTTTTGCTGCTGTCAGTCTGCTCCAAAAAGTTTTTCTGCTCCCAACATTGTTCCAACGCTGCTTTGCCCAGTTTCATCCCTGTGCACATCCAAAACTATTTTGTTTTCATTTTGTAGGGGCTGAACCTAAAAGATTGGCCCCAAACTTTCAAGAAGAAAAAAGTGTGGCCCTTACATGCATTTGTATGGTAGCTTAGTTTTAGCCTAGTTTTGGGTTCTATTGAGACCGACTCCTGTGAAGTTCAGTGGGAGCCGGCCAAGACAAATATTGAAAACAAAGTACAGCACATAAGATTGCAGCTTAGGTTCCTTGCGCTTTTTTTTTTTACGGCAAAGCTATTATACGCTAGGTTCTGGGAAAAAATGCGCCCTCACATGTCGACAGAAAACTTCCTATTGGTCGTGACGAGTATGAATAAATAAAAATAAAAAGAGGGGGCAACCAGCGTGAGTCAGCCTTCCTTGGCATTATTAGATAGTGAGGTCCTGATCCCTTGTTACCATCTCTAGGCATCGTCCTCGAGAACGTCCTAGACTTGTCCTCAAGGTCGTCCTAGATATTGTCTTCGAGGTTGTCCTGCAAGTCGTCCTCGAGGTCGTCCTAGAAGTCCTTGAGGTCGTCCTAGACGTTGTCCTTGAGGTCATCCTAGACATCGTCCTCGAGGTCATCCTAGGCGTCATTTTCTAGGTGTCGTCCTCTAAGCGTTGTCCTCGAGGTTGTCCTTGAGGTCGTCCTAGACGTCGTAAAGATAACAGCTTTGCTGGTTCTCGATCTTCACTTTAAATGAAAGGGTTCTACAATTATTTTTTTTTTTTTTTTGGCTTGAGCAAAGTTGAGAGACTGAATACCTAAGTCTCGTGCTTGACCTTTGACAACTGTCGTCTTCCTTTTAAAGCGATACCTTTGCATGGGAGCCCTCCACGGGCCTTTCTTGTTGTGTCATGTGACATCAATTTTCCTGCTAAATTTAGTGGGGAAATCGACATCGCAGTTTTGAATCACGGTGTCACGTGATCGGATGTCACACGATGTGGTCAGAAGATATGACTTTTCCCGCAAGGTTTAGCGGGGAGGTCACTATTGTGTCGCGTGATGCTATGATGTTTGCGCGACGTCGGAGGGTCATGTAACATAATGTCACATTCCCCGCCCTTAAATTTACCACCCAGGTATATGCTCTACGTTCTGGTAGAAATTGACGCTTGTTAAAATCCCAATGAAGTGATACCACACCTTTGTATCATTTGATAAAATGTATAAACCAGGTGATTTTTCCTTTGTTTCTGTCATTTCCGCTTCGGGTCACCTTCCGGCAACAAGGACTACGTCTTCGACGCCGCGACGCAGTCGCAGATGGCCACAGATCAAGCGTGTCTCTTCATCGACAACCAGCGCCTGCTGGCATTTCGCTGCGGCCGGGAGGAGGCAGAGCTCATGTGGCGCTGGCGCCGCATGCTGGACTACATGATGGATCTGCACCTGTCTCTGCGCCAAATTGAGGAACTCAACCAGGAAGAGGAACACCTCCAACGGAACCTCTGGCCTCAGATCGTCGAAGCCACAGCCGAGATACTGGCTAGGGCTCAGGCTTCGTCCTGAACTTGCGGCTTCGGCTCGCACCCCATGTTGTTGGCCGCTAGGTGACGGCCACGCTCTTCTGGTCTTCGGGATGTCGGTGCTGCAAGTGTGGACAACAAAGTGACTTGCATGCAGGGTCTTAAAGCCACAGCTGAGGTATTGGCTAGGGCTTGGGCTTCTTCTTGAAATTGCAGCTTTGACTCGCACTATGTGTTGGCTGCTAGATTACAGCTGCACTCCTCTGTTCTTTAAGATGTGAGTGCTGCAAGTGTGGACAGCAAAGCGATTTGCATGCGCGATCTTAAATCCTTGGCCTAGATATTGGGTCAAGCTAATTCACAGTGGAGGATTTGCCGGGATGACTTGTATCATCTGCTGCGGACCATCATAAGGTCGCCAACAATTTTTTGAGTGTGGAAGTTGTCTCTACTTTTAGTTAGTGGTGCTAGCATTGTGCCAAAGTTTTAGAGTTTATTTTCTTATTTAATAATGCTTGAAGAAAGTTTTCGGTTTGTTTGCGAGCACTACCGGCGACCGGTATTGTGACATGTGGGTGGTCCTAAGTAACTGCCAAAAATAGTGTGGCAGTAATTTTTTTGTTATGTGGTTTCACAGGGCAGGCAACCTTTTGGTGAACTAGGTAAACAAAGAAGGTTGAGAGAGTTCAAGACGGGAGCTGTTGCAAATACTACCTGCGTAATTCCCCTAGATTCCGTGATATGTTCTTTTTTTCCTCTGTGTGAGGTCTAGAGTTTTAGGGGTTTAAATTAGGTCTTTGCTTATGTCGTGTGGTATTGCCGGCAACTACCAAACAGCAAGGGGTGTGGAGTGCGACACAGTTAACAAAAACCATGCCTTGTTTTTTGTTTTGTTTCGTTTTTCTTAGCTTTACAAAACGCCGTCATCAAAATTGCTTGTGCGGTGCAAGGGCTCTTATCGGCTATCAACCTGGGTGATAAAAATAGTGTTCCTCATTATACAAGTTATTTTCCCAACGACCAATCGTAATTAGAAAAATGAATTGCCATTTTGCCATACTAGCATGGTAAAGGCAGTGGTAACACAGAATGCGATGTGTCAGTGTGGAGAAACTGTGTACGTACGTGGAGACTGGATGGCGCGAAGTTGCCAGGTGTCATACAAGGTAAGTGCGTGTGAGCGCTCCATGGATGTCTTACTCGTGGGTGCCATCTTCTGCGGTTGCAGTGTAAATGCGAGTTTCTCGGAGCCTGTGGGGGGGGGAGTGCGAGACAGAGTGGATGGAGCGTGCAGAAAATAGAACTGAAACGCGGCAATGCTACATGCATGGATTCTTAATTTGTCACTAAGTATAGTATGCTGTGCATGGCAGTGCAAGCAAAATGTTACACCTTTTTCACATTATTGTAGGTTGGCATCAAACCCCAAAAGTTACCACCCAAGTTGAGTTCCAACATGAGCTCATTCCACCACACTAATAGATTTGATCGTGTCTGTGAGCTGCGAGAGGAAATTTATAGGGGGTCGGGCGATTGCCTTGCTAACTTTCAAAGGGAAAACAAAAGTTCAGTTACAGTTATACATTCATGATCGCTATTGGAAAACTTGGGCACTGAAATTTGTTGTTTTGAAGGCGTTTCTCTTGATCCCCTCTCTAAAATGCTGCAACTTGTAGCATAGCGTGCGTGCGCGTGTGGTTGCATTTGGAGGGTCTCTGTCATGAGAGTATCTCGAAGACAAAAGGAAGTTGTACTGGTTGTTTGGGAGATAAGAGAAGCATGGTTTTTCTCACCACAAATCACACTTAGCCAAATGTAGTGCTAGCTGTTAGCACCAGATGCCAGTTTCAGCACTTGCTGTTATCTGTTTCGAACGTTATACGGTAAACGATTTTCAGTAGAAAAAAAAAAAAATTGTGGCCAACAAAGCCCACGAAAGCACGGAGACTAATGGCGTCTGCTACCGCGGGAATTGACCTTATTCTCGTTGCAAATTTCCAAAAATCGTTTACAGCTTTTAAATAAAATAACTGAGTTCTGAAATTTTGCCATCTGATCCTGACTGCTAGCAATAAGTTTAGACGGTGTCCGAACGTGTGACGAAGTGTGGTTTATTTTTGCGACGAAAAGACAGATTTTTGTTTTATATTTAAATTTCTGGTATTTCAATCATTTGTAATGTGCGCTAGTCGAAGGACCAAATGTGATTCATGTAAATATGACCGCCCTCGAGTTTTGGAGAGTCTGTCGCGTATGCCTATTACTGCGTGTGATAAGATTGCTGTGACATTCTCTTGGCAATGTTGCCGTATATTGTAAATTGTGATCCAGTTTAGGTCTTGAAAGTCATTGTGTTGTTTCGCCCAAGTACAAAAAGCTGCTTAATCATTTTGCCTGTACAGTTTCATTAACTGAGTTTTCTTAAAGGGGTAGTGCAACGATTTTAATGTTGAAAGAATTGGCGGTTTTCATTTTTTTATATTTATCCAAGCACCAGCGACCAAACCTTGGCCCGAAAAACTTATTCCGCTGCGTAATAGCAAAGAAAAAAAAAAACGAACTATTTGCCGATCTGCAGCCGCGTTTGGCAGTTACGGGAACTACGATAACAGCGTCTCGGGGAAGGGGGGGGGGGGGGGGGGGGGGGGGGGGGCGCGGGCGGGCGGGCGGGAGAGGAGAGAGAGGGGAGGGTGGATGGTACGCGGAAGTCAGCAAAACCTCTCCCCTTCCGCTGCTAAACGCGCCGTCAGCCCCATGGCAAACCGTCTTTTGTCTGGATCGCTCGCCACGACCTTTAATGATGCTAATCTTCTAAAAGTCGACAATCGCGGAGGACACGGCTGGGGTCTCCGAATAACCAAAGGGGAAACCAGGTGATCCCCCAGCGTACGTCACTCGAAAGGCGGCGTAGAGAGTTGAGGGGCACTTTGACCTTCGATTTGTTTAAGTTTTTTTTTATTAATAAAAAGCACGCTCAAGAAATAAAGCTTTTTTTTTTTTTTTGTTCCATAGCTGACAGATTAATTTCCGCAGTTAATTGGCCAAAGTCTGAAAAACATTGCACCGCCCCTTTAAGGGGTGGTGCAAAGGTTTTCGGACTTTGGCCAATTAACTGCGGAAATTAATCTGTGTCAGCTATAGAACAAAGAACAGAGAAACGTATTTTCTTGCGAGCGCTAGTTTTTATGTGAAAAAATAAAACAAATCGAAGGTCAAAGTGCCTCTCAACTCCACGTCGCCTTTCGAGTTACGTACTCTGGGGGCTCACGTGGTTTCCCCTTGGGTTCTGTCTTCAGGGACCCCAGGTGCTTCCTCCGCGATTATCGACTTTAAAAGGATTAGCATCGTCGGAGGTCGTGGCGAGCGATCGACACAAAAGACTGCTCGACACGGGGGTGACGGCGAGTGCAGCAGCGGAGAAGGACAGGTTTATCCCCCAAAGTACGTCACACATCAGTACCGTTATCCACCACAAGCGGCTGCAGATCGGCAAATATTTTTTTTCTTTGCGATTACGCACCGGAATAGCAGTTTTTCAGGGCAATGTGACGCGTTTTGGTCACTTGTGCTTGGATAAATAATATAAAAAATACAAATTGCCAATTCTTTTAATACTAAAATCATTGCCTACCCCTTTAACTTTTCATTTGATTCGCGTAGATTTCATCTTGTGTTCAGTTTTGTAGCTTGTGTGTCACTGCTCTTTAAGTTTGAGAAGCGTTGTTACAAATTTTTACAACCTTTAGGTCTTTTGGACCAAGAGTGCCTTACGATATAAACATCATTTTTTTCTATCACTTGCCAGGTTCAAGAAGAGAAAACGTATATTGCTTACGATTGATGAGCTTTTAAATATGTTTGTTGTATCAGAAGTATGACCAAGTAGTGCAATAAACTGATCTGATGAAAATAAAGATATTGACTTTTAACCACTTAGAGCATAGGAAGGGGAGGGGGGGGGGGGGGTATAACTTGTTCATAAACTCCAAACGTTTTTTTTTTTTTTTTTTGTCACATTAAGTTTTGTTTGGCGTGAAAGCTACCTTAATAAAACGTTCGCATAAAAATATTTCTGTTTCTAAAGCAATAATAGGATCTAATTGTAAATACATATTAAAGGCGAAAATCGCAAGTGTCAACGTTGTACTTTTCTTGGCAATGCAGTGGAAGGTACAGGCCGGCGTCCCCTCTCCCATTTTGAGTGTACGCAGGCTCTCCTCCTCCCCCATTTCCGGGGAGAGGAGGAGAGCCTGCGTACACTCAAAATGGGAGAGGGGACGCGGGCCTCTACCTTCCACTGCATTGCCAAGAAAAGTTGTCGCGGAGTATACTAGAATTCCTCAAAACCTCGGTGGAATTGTAATTGGAGTGAAAGACCTTGCCAAACTTTGTGGATGGGGAACTCCTTTGTACGTGGATTATTTCCAGCTTTTTCACGATTTTTGATTTTCTTATTTTTGTGTTCTCCACAATTTTATTTTTTTTCTCTGCCTTTCTTTTTCTGCTTTTTGGTTCGATCAACGGATTAGCTGTGAATCCGAATAAGCCGTCAAGCGGGCTGTAATCCCCCGCCTTTTGTAGTTTATGCAGGATTTTACTGTTTCTTTTAATTTGTACTTGTTATTTTTAGCAGAGGGAAACCTGCGTTTAGAATGGAAAAAAAAAAGGGGGGGGGGGGGGATACGGGATGAGCTGGGTTCAACGGAAACGGATTTCATCTGCAAACTTCCCTCAACCGGTTTTAACCGAAAAATATATATATATATATATATATTGTGTGCAGTCAGTATTTCGAAACGGGGCGAACGGCTAAGTAATAGGAACTGCATGTACACGAAAATGACGCATGGAGAACGAACCGCTTTGCGTTCGCATACCGGAGGACTGATATACATGGTTTTTGCATATGTGACGTCACACGAGGCCTGCAACCCCTCTAGAAGACTAGTCCTGGAACTCCCCCCACCCCCATAAGCGTCATCAGTATACTCGTTTTCACCTCAAGAGCCATAGTAAAAGAGGTCCGGCTCCTCACAGAGCATTAAATTCCCTCTTGATGTAGATAATTACAGTATATATATGTCTGAGCTTTATAGATTAGATACTGTAAACGACTTAATTTTCGCGAATTTCCTACAGTTCGCTAAAAATAGGTTCCGCGAACAATTATGGTAGATTGTAAACACATTGGAATCTATATTGAGATCAGTGTTGCGGAGTTTCCACTCCGGAGTTGGAATGATTCCGGAATCATTCCGCATTTTCGCGACCTCGGAATGGAATGGGAATGGAATCAGATGCCTTTTGCCCGGAATGGAATGGGCACAATTCTCTATATTTTTTTTTTTTTATTTTTTTTTTTTTTTTTACGTTTAGCTATACCGAGCCAGTCAGGGAGTCGGTTGTTCAGAAATAAAATGAGCGGGAAACTGCGAACC